TAGTTAATTTATAAACGTATTCAGTGGTTCTGGGTGATCTTGCAGCGTGAGGTAACTTGATCACTGTTTAAAAACTGTTGCGTTTTATTACTTTACGTCATTTACACATAAGATCATCTGAGTCTATTCATTCGAGCATTCTTGAGTTATAAATATTGTAACTAACTCGTCTTTGTTTTATATGTAGAATGTATGATATGGTTGACCAGTGCAGAAAAGTTCTCGATGCTTCATTCAATTGATAGTTTGCAAAATTACGTGATTTATGATAGTAAAGTATGAGGTGAGAGAATCAGGAAGAGAAGTGCAATTCAGTAGCGAATCTACGTTACTTCACATCAGATATAGTGTCGTAAAATACAGTGTTAAAACTTTCAAATTGAATCACAAAACATTTTTTCCGTATCATTTTCACAGTCTCCGTACTGACATTAAATGACAAATTTATTTTGTAAATTAAACATTCAGGTTGCGCGATTAGATGGACATGGAAATCAGAATTTTTTTCCCAACTTAAACTCGTCCTTATATAGTCACTCAAAACATTTGTTCAGTGCATCATCATTCTTTCTAAACAGATGCACATTAATTGTAATATCAAAATGAACTGAATGACGAAATTTCTTTGCAATATTTTAAATTTATTTTAATTATTAATACTATTATTACAACTAATTATAAATAACTATTACTATTGGGAATTTAATACTACTACTACTACTACTACTACTACTACTACTACTACTACTACTACTACTACTACTACTACTACTACTAATAATAATAATAAGGGCGTAGTAATAAATTATAATTTTAATATTTTTGTACGATGAGGTCTGCGTTTTTTGGATGAGTTTTATTGTGTAATAAGGTTGAAGGAAGAACAACGAATGTATTTTTGGAAATTCCTGGCGGAATCTGATGGTGGAGTTCTCTTGATTTTAATGGGATATATTATTAAAGTAAAACATCCCGGTCTTCAACGGACTGATAAAACTTACTAACACTAGCAACAATACAAATACAGACTTTCAAACCGGCTTATCTGGCTCAGGGCATCAATTGATGTCACTGCAGCGCCTCGGATCATGTAGGGTTCGATTCTCGACGTTAGTGGGATTTTCGACATTATTAGATACCTAGGTCCAATTCAGCCGCTGACAAGAGGAGAAGTCTAGCAGGCAGCTGCTCTGATTGGTAGTTTTTTGTGGATTCTCCGATCAAAGGCGAATCAGGCGAATGCCGGAGCAGTGCCCTAATAATTGGACCACGGACCGCGCGCTATCTTTTCTTCGTCCTAGTCCTATCATCACCCTTGACATAAACTTACTCTTACATGCATTTCACTGCCACACGTCGGTTGCTTAGTGTGTGTTCCGGCCTGGGCAGTGCCTCGCTGGTGGGAGAAACATGGATGAAGGAAACCCCGCGAGCCGACAGGTGGGTCGCCGTTTGATCTCACAACCCATCGTCACCTGGCGCAATACAAATATGAACTGCACTTACAGGACGAACGATCTTAGCAGTTGACGC